GAGCAACTGTCTCGTATTCATGTTACACATTTAGAAAACCAACTATGCAGCCTGTCTATTCGTCTTGCCATGAACCTCAAACAGGTCGAACTACCACTATTCAGCGGTCTTAATCACTCGGGACTGGTGTGGGTGGCCTCATCATTCGCCGAGTTATTAAGACCGCTGAACAGCTGAATACTGGGAGTTTGACCTAGGTTCTTTCCCGGGCAGACAGGGTGGCTGTATGTTAGATTCGATTTTGGTTTATTTGATCATTGCAAAGCACGCTGGGTTATCTGGCTAAGGAGAGAGATGCCTTCGTGGAGAACGTTTTGAAGGAAACTAGCTCTCATCCACTATACACACGAGGAAAACCACGAAAACGTCCCTAAAACCAACCCATTCACTTTTAATTCAACCCAGGTCGAACTACTAGTGTTTAGCGACTTTACCCTGCCTGTGCTGCTTGATTGGTTTTACCCATGTGTAACATCTATGCGAGCTAATTTTTCTTAGAAAATAGGCCCACCAGCGGCCAAGCGGAGAAATTGCTGGACACTGGTAGTTCCGACCTGGGTTCGAATCAAGACGAACGGTCTGGCTGCATGAACGTTTACGAATCAGTTTACCTTATAAAGTCTCCCACGAAGGCATCCTTTCCCTTTGGTAGATAGCCATAGTAAACTAAACCAAGCCGAATCTCTTAGGAAATCCTCCACGAAGGCATTCCTCCTCTTAGGGATATAGCCGTCGTGTATTTTGACTTATTCGAATAACTGAACCTAATCGTCAGATTTCGTTCGGGCTTATTTTTGTGCGTCTGATTATTGAGCATTAAATTTACTTTCATCCGTAGAATTTACCTGAATGTTAATTTTTTATGGCCTTTTTAATGAATTCTAAAATTCTAATAATATTTTATCTTTGTTAGGTTTACTTATGAATGGTTTTCGTGTAGCTATTCGAACTAAATATGCATATTTTTGTTTTAATTGATTTCTGGTTGTTCTTGGGAACTTCCTGAATGGAAGTGAATCCTTCTGATAGCTTCCTGAAGTTCTAACACATTCGGAGAAGAGATTAGGAAAGGATTTAATGTAATTTTCTTCAAAATGAATTAATCATATTTTTTGCTTTACTTCGATGACGTCCGATAATGATACTTATTTTCTATAGTTCTAGTCTTTTTAAACATATTTACAATATATTGTACAGTATCATGAATTTCTATACTAGACTTCTATGTCACGTAATGATTTACCATTTCTGAACAATTTTAGAATAACATTTCTGACATCAGCTAGCGTTTGTTGGTCATTTTTAAGAAAAAATAATAGATTTACTCACGCAACTTTAAAACAAGCAGAAGTAAGCAATAAATTACGTAACTAGTTGTTACTATGGTAGCAAAACGATTTGCATGCGAGAATATTAAAACTTTTTAAGTGTATGAATAGTTTGTGCTTTATAATGTAAGCATTGTTAATATTTTAACAAGTCAAACCCTCTATGACGAACTTGAAGGGTAAGTTGGTTCGGTATATCCAGTGGTTCGCTTTATCTGATTCCATAAGAAAAAGGGATTATCATCTAAAAACCCACATCTAATTTATCATCTAAAATCTGCCTCGAACAACATTTGTTTAGAACACATGTGTGGATAAAATAACAGTAACGTAAACTTGTTTTTCGCGATCCTAATAACATATATGATTTTAAGGGTTAGTTATTTTTCAGTTAGAACTTGTAAAATTAAAAAAAGGGGGGGGGATAATATAAGAGATGTTTCAATCGAAAATCTCCTTAAAGTTCGTTACATCCGATTTTCATAAGTCTGGAGGTTTGCTATAGCCGTGTAAGTTACATTAAATATATAGGAAACTGGGCAGTATTAAAAAGGAAAAAAAAAAAAAAAAAAACTTCGTTGTATCCAGGTGTTCGTTATAAGCCAGATTTTCTGTAGAGGAGTTTGTATTAATTTATCATATATGCAAAAACTATTTCTAGTTTAAAGCATTTGATATTTCCTGTCATTTTGAAATATATTACCAACAATATATTATAAGTTATATATTACAAGCAAGAAATATATTACAAATTGAGAGCTAATTAACATAAAATAAATGGGCTTCAAATATTTTTATGCATGGTGTATAGTTACTTTAATCTCTCACTATGTGTAACTGCTATATAAATTCGTGTATATTTGCTTAGAAATTAATTTTTCCTATGTTCACGATGAACTTTATTTCATGAAGCTGTAGTATCTACCTAATTTAATATATTAAAAATATCGACATTAAAATCATTTCCAACAGACAAGGAATGTATTAAAAACTCAGAGACATTTTTCTACTAATTAAGAAAGTTTACATGAGTGAATACTTCTTGAACTGTTGGTTTTAAATTCATGACTGCTGTTTAAAAAAAAATATATATATAGTAGACATTTAGACAATTTTGGTCAAGTTACACCTTTCAGCAAACAAATACGAAATTTAAATTTTCATGCGGACTCTGTATGGTGCGGTGTGGTTGAGAAAAATGTTTTTCAGAGCAAAATTGGGCAAACGTAGACAAGCAAATTAATTAAAAACAGTTTTTTACATACGATAAAAATTAAGCAGACAAGACGATTATTAATTAAAATTTTAGAGGTATATACAAATAAGAGTTATAAACGAAATTTTTGTATTGTAAATTGAAAAAATGTGCCTATTAGTGCTCGAGGTGTAAGACTTTTGAACACTGGCTACATGAGAGGGTTTTGTGATTTTTACAATGCGTAACATGAATACGGTTAGGTTAAGTTAGGTTATTAGATTGCATTATTTTAAGTACGTCTAACATGAATGTGGACGCGCGTGATAACGTGTGCATTCCATTGTTCATGGGTATGTAAATCTTGGAACAATTATTAATTCCCCGAAGTTTCCTTCATGGGAATATTGCATCACACCGATGATGAACTTTTTATTAAATTGAGACATCCTAACTGCGAGTTGTGTCTGCATTACGAAAGAATTTAAAATTAATCTGAATTTTTCGTCATACTTAGATCTCAACTGCATTGACTTCCTTCAAAATATTTTTTATTAAAGTACATTTATTTTAAAGTATGTGTCTTTTCAAATGCTTTCCCCGCCTAAACTGCAGTTCGTTTTTTAATTCATGAACCTTCATGTCAGAACAAGAGTGATGTATTTGAGCTTACTGGTAATTTATTATAGAATAATAAGAATAATAAACTACTCTAAATTCATATTACATTACTTATTTTAGTGCTATTATTATTTTTCTATTACTGCTAAATTAGTGCAGTTTTCAGCACGTTATTTTTAGGTACCATTTTTTTCTGCACTTATTACATACTTTTCATACACTTATAATAAGGAAATGCAGTGTAAATTTTAGCTTTCAGTTTTAAAAATATTCGCACATAACTTAATTCTTGTAGTCAGTACAATAGAATCAGACATAAATGAGACGGAAAGGTCACATAGGTTAGGTTATTTAAATACACTAGAGCTATCTGCTTAAGGGGCAAGGATGCCTTCGTGGAGGACTTTTTAATGAAACTTGCTCGTTATCACGTTACATTACGCTCGTTATCACGTTACGGAGAGAACCAATCATGTAGCTGGCACGTTCGCCAGAATTCGAACCTGGATCGAACTGCCAGCATTCAGTTTTCTTAACTAATCGATCACTGGTTTGGGCCGCATAAATGGTAATGTCGGGTAACGTTGATTATTAAAACAGAAAAACTGAACAACATTTTAGTATAAGCCTGATGACATGATTTCTGTATTATCGAAATCACTGGACTCTTTTATTTTTTTATACTTGTAGTACAAAAATTATTTCTTGGGAAAATAAAGATAAGTTCTTTACAGTGTGCAGAGCCTTGTATAAAAACTGTATATTAGGGGGAAAATGTATTGTTATGAATAAAAAAATGTTATAATAGTAATATACCTTGTAAATGCTAGAGTAATAATAATAATTTGTACTCTGAATTAGGGTTTCGTGGTATGTCAAATGATTGGGTCTTTAGTGTTTATCGTTTATAAAAAATTGCGCAACTGCATGCACAGCTTATTTTTTGTAAGCTATGCATTAAGATAATGTACTTCATATAAAACTTTGTAGCAGCTTCATTCACAGTTTATAATGTGATGAATGCATTCAGGTAAAAATTTAATAACGGCAGTTATATAAATTACACTTATGTCTGAGCTTTAAATATTTAAATTCGTAATCATTTTCCAAATATATTATATAAAACTTTTCATGAACAGTTGTTTGTTTAATTAATAATAAGTAGTTAATAAACTTTTCTTATTGAATTATTATTCGTTATATATTTTTCATTCACCATTAGTTCCAGATGTTCTGAAAAAATAACGCAAGATTAAATATATAACATTTCCTTTGACAAGATTGAAACCCATACGAAATCTTTTTTCCTTTCATCGTTTTTTTCCTAGAATATAGAATAATCATAAATATTCTAAAATATTGTTTAAAAACAATCTGAGAATGTCGGAAATATTATAACGTCCGTTGATACTGGAACTGGCATGTTAATAAAATACGTCACTATATCAGAAAAATATTAAGTCTTGGCATGTTATAAGATTATGCCGTTCACTAATGCTTTTAAGACTTTAAAATCATATTAACATCACAAAGCAAAAGAAAGCTCTTAATAAATGCGAAATTTCCCATCAGAAAAGGCGTAATTATTTGGCACTTAGCGTATCCGTCGTCCTTTCACATAGCGCGAGTGAGGAAAAAGTAAGGTAACTACTAATAATCCAACTAGACCCAGCAAAGGGAGGAGAAAAAAACCACTCGCGTTCTCCAGGTGGAAATAGTGGTCCTGATAGCAGGTGTGGCCGCTGGACTAGAACGTAGCGATAGGCCAAGGCCACTGGCGTGGCACCCACCTCTACATTGGCCCATGCTAGCAGAGCATAGTGCGGAGGTCATAGCAAGTAGCGTTGCAGCTGTGCATGCACCTGTGTGGGCATCCGCGATTAATTCACCTGACCACGGGACCTATTCCGTGAGCCTCTTGAACCATTCATGGGAGCTTTTTTCCTCCGGATTTAATTATTTCTGCTCCTTGCTATTGAGCCGCCATTGTTTTTTGGCCTTGTGACAACTGCTCTTTGCCTTCTGCGTGACTTGTTTTTACTTTGTTTTGTCTATTAGTAGTGTTTGCGAAAACTTACTGTGCATGGATTTTCTCTATACTCGCAAATTCAACCATATACAGAATTTTTTTTTTTCACGCAGATCTCATGTGATTGACTATTGATCTTTAACGTGTGAACTTGAAATGGAAAGCTACGATATACCTTCGGAGGAAAATGAAGCAGAAATGGATACTGTGAAATTTAAAGCAACTTTTTTTTCCGAGTTACGCAGTTTTCCTATTTAAAATCTCTATTGTGCGTACTGAGCTGGAGTATTTTTTTTCACATTACTCTATAATCAAAGTCACTGGATATATTTTATCAGCTAATGAGCCCATTTTTTTAAAGGAAATATTTACGAAGTTACGAAAGGAAATATGTTCTAAACCAAACTGAAGAAATAGTGCTTATGCATATTATAGTTTCAATCGGTGCACTAACGTGCTTCCTATTTTTTGAAGATTTTCCTGGTGACAAATTTCAAAGTGTTCTTTGTATGATATTAAATGAATCCAAGTGTGATAAATAAGAAACGACTAATTTTCTCTCATTCGAATGTTAAACTGGGAGACGTAATATCAGTTTTCATGTTATGTTAGAATAGTTAACGTTGCTTTATTTTTATCTAACGGTTTTTCCCTCTCCGGAGCGAAATATCTATCTCTAGCAGAGAACGAGCCACCAGCATTATCAGCTGCCGAAACGAATGTGAACTCTGGTGACATTTACCCTGCAGAACGGCGTGAAGCAGATACCTTCGTAACTTTTTCCCCCTCTCTTCAACCTTTGTCTACGCACGTAACGTTTGTCAGTGTACCTGTGGCGAAGCAGTGGAAGTGAACTGCGTAAAAGTCCTCTCGCTTTAGCTTTTGTCGCCGCCAACCTTATTTGACCTCAGCTTTGCCTGCTCGTGGTCAAAGTACGCAACCGCGCTCGTTGCATCACGACCTTTTTACCGTCGCTTTTAACGAAGCATGAGGTAGCATTTTACCCCGACGTTCCACGTTTGTGTTTTGTGACTCTTTTCTGTGATACTCTACACGACAGACAAGGATCTACTCCACTCATTACTGTTGTTTTTAAGATATGGATTACTATTCTTACCCGTGGTTTCAAATGGATTAACTCTCCTCCATGTGTTTAGGGTGACTTTTACGGATAACGCAGGTGAGTTGAATTATTCTTTCGTCGCTAATAACCTGTATATTTTAGATGGTAAAGGTTCCTTTTTTATCTTTGCTTTCGAAACTACTGATAATCAATTATGTAATTTTTGAATACGATAAAGGAATATTAAACTGAACTCGTAAGTATTTCCTTAAATTTCTCAGAATGTAAAATGAAATATTAATAATAATAAAATTTAAATAGGTATTTTTACGCTTGCATTTATCTATGATATCCGGTAAATTCTGAAATGTTAATTAGAGCTTCCGAAATTATTCTCATTCATTCATACGTATAATATTCTTTTAAACATATTAGCTTTTGAGATAGAACTTAAACGCTGATTCCGTAAACATCGATCTGTTTTTGAAGTTGTATTCTAAAGTCGATCTTCTGGAAGGTCGGCAGCATATGGAATCATTGTTATAAATTTCACATTGAAGTGCAAACAATTTAGAATATACTCTTTTTTATTAGACATGAAACCAAACTTAAATGTAAGCAAATACTTCTGTTTGTTGATGTTTGTGTATACAAAACAACCGGATCTATAGTCTTAATTAATATTCGTTATTGTTTATCTTCACATATATTTTACTTACACATAATTTTATTATGTGTAAGTAAAAATAATAATTAATACTCGTTATTGTTTATCTTCACATATATTTTACTTACACATAATTTTATAAGATTCCCCTGTATTGAAAAAAAAATCATTTTACTTCAGTCATCAACTTTAGAATATGAATTTGCTTAATCACTTTTTTTAATATATTTTAAAAAAAGTTATTTCTTGTGAGATTTGTTCAATCAAAGGTGTAATAGTAATTATGCTATTCCCGTTCCCTTAAAGAATGTCATGCACTGCCCCAAACAGAAAACTGTGCGCTATAACTGACTTTTTTTTACTGTTCTAGTCTTAAATTGCGAACCTACGGGAACAGCTTATACATTATTAAAACATATGTAATAATATAATATGTACAATGCCTGAATCATATTCAAATCAACAGTATATTTTAATAGTAAGTGTAATCCGCAAAAGTGAATCAATAAATTGTTCTAGAGGTTATATGCCTTTAAATGGTTTTATAACCTCTCGAGTCAGGTTTTTATTTCCAGTTTATGAGTGTATTTGCAGTAAATTGTTGTTTAAGCTATGTAAGACATAACTTTCAGTAACATTGGTTTTGTTGTTTACCTAGTTCAGAAACTAGAAATCGTTGTTTTTTTATATTGCCACCAGGATGAAAAAAGTGATCTATTAATTAATCGCGTATTTTACCGGTGAGGGGAGATAAGAAAAATGAGGTGCTTAACAAAAATGTTAACTTTAATTATTAGTTCTTCAATTAATAAATATCTACAAGTACAATTAATAAATATCTACAATTAATAAATATCTACAGTGGTGATTCTGTGCTTTTTTAATTAGTTAATATAGTATTAGCCGTAAACTGGAACGAAGTTCGTACGGGTTAAGCGAACTGAGCAAAATTTATAGAGCCTTTAAGAGGTGACCTTTATATGCATACAACTGATAAGGAAACTAGAACTTCAGCTTAAAAAAAAAAAAAAATTTTTTTTGATTGTATTACTCCCCCCTTCAGGCATAAAAGTGTGTCTAAACATGAGAATCTTTTTGTTATAAGATATTTATTAATTAAAGACAATAGATGCCAAACATTTTTCTGTCCGGAAAGATATATGCACCAGGTTTGTTCAGCGAGAAAAGTATTTTCCTCAACAGCTGATTTTGAATACGGTAAATTTTTCTAAACGTAAGATATATTTCTAGCATTAGTTAGTTGAATAAATAATAAAGAACGAGATAGAATGACGCACATTAAAAACTTGTTATTGATAATATTTGCTTTGAAGACAAGAATAATGTCATAGGCGCAATGAATTTAATTTAATGGTAGTTAACAGGCAGCACTGGCACTTTTTACCTAATAGGATCTTCTTTTAACAGTGTACTATTTATAAAACCCTTTTTCTTCCCTTTAAAAAAAAAAAAAAAAAAAAAAAAACCCTTTAAAGGCAAAGAAAGATTCTTTTATCGAATTAATTGGAAGTAAGAATACTCTCCAAGAAAACGTTTTAAATTACTTCTGTTTTATAGACGCATCTATATCATTCTTATAGACCCCTTTCAATACCCCCTGTCAGTTAGTTTTTATCTTATTGTTATTAGATAAATCTTAATCAAAGAATATTTTAAAATTTTCTTCACCATTTTTATGTACTTTATTACTGCTAGCAAATTCTGCTATGATATTATCACAAATAGCGTTAAAAGAGGGAGGGATTCGCTTGGAGAGAGAAATTTTTTTTTAACCGTCACTCTTTTTAACGAGAGTTCCTTTTCTGTGGTCCAACAACTTGATTCTGTCCCTTAACGATTAAATATATCATTGCAGTTGTTTCCTTTTCTGCATTAAAAAATTCATAAAGGAGGTAGTTGTATATTTAAATTTTCTGACTAACTTTCATGATTCCAAATCCTTTAAATAACATAATCACAAATGACTGCAGTAATTTGCTCGGATATTTATTTTCTGTAAAACATTTATATACATATATATATATATAATAAAGGCGTTTGAAGTCCATCTTATACTCAGTTCGGAATAAATCATATGCAAAAAACCGAAAAACAGAAACACAGTGGCAAACCTCAAGAAACAGGGGGCAAATCATACCAAAAATGAAAATTGATATTTACATCTTTCGCTGCATCGTCATCAGGAGGTTGGTGCAGCGAAAGAAACGAAATAAATGAAATAGCCTGTTTATACATGCATTGGATTACTTACGTTTTGCATGTTTTACAACTCGGTCCACTGAAATTAAAAAAAAAAAAAAAAAGGATTTTTAAGCCTTTTTACTCTTTTATGCATTTTGCTTTTATTTTTTAACCCGGCCCGTGTGTTTTCAAGACTTTGCATTTACTTTTGTTTTTTCAATTTTGAATTAAAGGATTTCCATGTGGTTTTGTTTTTTTAAGTGTCAGATTTTACTTTTTTGGACTGCTCAATTTTTGGAAACTTGTCTATTATTTTGCAATCGTTTTGAATTTCTGTACCTTTTTTTTTTCTTTGATGCTACAGTTTTTGCACTGCTTACTCAGCCTGTAGGGGTTGGTCAGATTGCTTTGATTGTTTAAGGTTATTAGTTTGTAATTTTAAATTTTAATTTGTGTCCTTGTCACTTCATAAACGGGCTTTCTTTTTTTTTTTTTTTTTTTTTTTTCTTTTTTAAAGTTTTATTATTTTCTTCATTCGTCGCACCGACCCCTTGATGACGATGCAGACAAACATGATGGTATCATATTTCATTTTAGCTTGTTTTCCCCCTTTATTTCTTGAGGTTTGTCGTTGGGCTTCTATTTCTTGGCTTTTGCGTTTGGTTTATTCCAAATTGAGTATAAGATTGATTTTAAACGTGCTTATTTTTTATTTTATTTACATTATATATACAAGCACACATATACAATAAAGAAAAAAATTGTAAATCATTTCGCAACAGCTGGAACTTATAATACTTTAAAGTATAAGAAAGTAAAAACCGAGGGGGGGAGGAAATAAATAAATAACGAGGTGTTTCATATCTCGTAACATTTCTTCAGAGAATTAGGGCCAGAAAATAATGAAAAACAGTCATATTTCTGAGCTGCAAAATGAATAATTTAATGTATCCAAAATTTAAAACTAACAAGTTTTTAAAATTTTGCAAATTGCTCATTAATTTAATTCAGCTTCTACGTTTCTAAAAAAGAATTATCATTTTATAATTGCTGAATTTCTTCAACAAAGGTATATCCTATAAAAATAGCAGATAAATTTCCAGTTTTCTCCCGTGTTTTCCCCCATGTGTAACGCAGATGTGAGCCATTTTTCTTTAGAAAGTTCTTCACGAAGACATTCATTCCCTTAGGCAAATAGCCCTGCCATGCTTTCCCGTAATCAAATAAACAAATATCAACCCCTTTCTTTCTGTCATCCATCTTCCAAAGCGCACATACTGAATAAGGCTTTTTTTACGTTGCTCGAACCCAGTGGTATTCAAACCCCAAATAGAGTTGCGAAAAATTTACAGTGGGTCAGGAGGTGGATCAGAAGCCTAAAAAAATCTGTGTTGATGATATATAACTAAGGGTCGATGCTCTGTTTGTGGTCGCGAAATTGATTTTCGGGTTCTTTGCATTTTTAGGGGGTCTTACTGCCATAAAGTTTGAATTCCAGTGCTATAACCGATATTTAACCCCAGTACGGCGTCTGTTTTAGCCTTCCATCCAATATCGGATGATCTATGTATTGTTAAAAATATTTTTATCTTTATCTGTATATTTTTATATTCAACAAAGGTAATTAATCATACTAAATAATACCAAATATATTATAATATTACTAATAATAAATTTATGTATTCAGAAAATCAGTACATGTAATAATTTATTATTCTTAGATGAAAACGTCAATTATGCCTTTCTTAATTACCTGGTGTGGTGAAGCATGAGATGCTTAAACAGTTGATTCTGCTTAAAAAGTTTTTTTACATTTCATGTTTTCTGAAGCTTCTTTCATCCTAGCATTAGTAAATGACAACATCAAAATTATTCTTAACACAATTTCCGTATTAAGATTTGATTCAACTAAAACGCAATCCTCCTGATCATATTTAGAAAACCTGATTTTGCTCTAGTAAACCAGAATTATTGAAAAGAGCAGAGTTTTTAAAAAAATATATATTTCTGATGGAGTACCTGTTTCATTTATATTATTTGAATGTTTTAAGTACTAAGCTTCTCCTTTTTGAAATAATTAAATCTAGTGACATTGATTTTTCACCAGTTAGAAACTGAAAATCGAAAACTATCACAATTTAATTCTTGATATCTCCATTTTAGTTGCGAGATTAAAATAGCTCTCATTTCTATCGTGAAAAAGATATTTTTCTGGAAAATTAATTTTTTTCCAAGTGATTCTTGACAA